CCAAAGCACCGAAGTAGCAAAGCTATGATAATGGTACTTCCATACTGCAAGGAAGAGTAGCAATTACGTGTATATTAAATTGGAGTTTTCTTTTTAAATGCTGGCTTACAACAAAGCCAAAACTCTATACTTATTTTATACATATACTATATGCAGTATTTCCTCATGAAATAGTAATTTTGAAAGACAGTTATCTTCTAAGAACTATAGTCACTGTTTTGTTATTATACAAAATAATGCTAGTAATGAAAGACTAGCTAGCATTAGAATTGGTATGTTCTTACCAACTTTATTGTTTAGATAAAACAATTTAAACTTCCTTGTATTTGAACTAAACTACTGTGGTAAAAAACACACCAGAAGTTAAACCACTAGCAGGATGGACACACTTTATGTTGTTTCTAATTACTTCTAGAAGAATAAGATTCAAAACATATTAAAAAAAATAATAATTTTGCCTTATATGCAGGCTGCCAGAATGCCCCAGAACAAATAAAAAAACTGAAACAAATTACTAAAAAAAACTCAACACAGTTTCCTGGGAAGGATATAGCAATAAGGTAGCTTCATAATTCATGTTTTAATAAATCTTTAATTGCTGCACATCCAGTATACTTCTGCATTAAGGTAGAGTGCACCATAGTGTTACTGCAGCACATCCAGCAGTGGAAAAATGCCCATTACACTTATCAAGTGACAGTTCCTTTAACAATATACTTGCAAAAGGTAAGAGATTCATCAATATTGCCTTTTGAAATGCTCATTGGTTTTAATGTCAAGAGCCACCTGTCTGCAGTTGGAGTAAGATTTCCGAGGCTTCAGGACAATGAGCATTTTTCTAATGAGCTATTTTACTATTCAGTTGTTAAAACAGATTCAGACAGAAGATAAATATCTTTTCTACATAACTATGACTATAGTCTCACCTGCCATGATTATTGTTAAAAGGGATATGACAAACCATAAATTAAAGTAGCTGCATTTAAGGCTTAACAGTAAGGAAACCAACAGTTTAAAACTGGCTGGTTTAGCATGTTACTTACACCACCTTTTTACCTTTTTTTTTTCCCCAGTTACATTCCTATCCATTTTTTTTTCCTTTTTTTCCTCTAGGCAAAGGTAAAAAACAAAACAACACTCAGCAATTGATGCAAACCACAGGTTCCTGCAGCAGCTCAAAAAACAGACCCAAGAGCTGCCTGGAGAACTTTCTTCCTCTTCATGTCAGCTGCCCGCAGCCTTCCCCACACTGGGGCTGGCGGCCAGGATGAGTGATGGTGTCGGTCCGACCAGACAACGGTAACCCTGGCAACTGCAACCTGCAATTCCTGCCTAACCATTGTGGGATTTATTGTGGCAGGGGCCAAAGAGGCCAAGAGTAAAATGAAGCAGAGAACTATGGTGTCTGACACATCTAGTACCACACACTTTAATCATAGCTGGCAGAAATTAATTCAGGAGGAATTTTTGCAAGGGCCCCCCATGCAGCATGTTTTTTTGTTGTTGCTATTGCTGCTGTTCTGGCCTAAGATAGTAGGTTTTTAAGGTTTTTTGACCTTCAGTATTTTTCCTTTTAGTTATCAGCTGTTAGGAATTTTATTGAAGTGACTAATAGACATCTCAAAACTGAGTGTTTAGTAATCTGACAATATTAAGATCTTTTTTTCCTTTAGGGGAGAAAAATCTTACTCACAGTATGGATCTTCTCAAGCACATGCATTAGAAGGAAAACATAATATAGGATCAAATCCACTAGAAAGATTGTCTTTTCAAAGCCAGCATTGCCTAACTTACATGGCAAATAATGTTCACTAAGGAAACTTAGACTTGTAGTAAGCACAAGAAATGTAAATCAAAAAGGACAGGCTTTGTGCAGGAATTCAATCTCTGCATGCTACTGGTTAATAAAGGTATCGTCTAAAATTGAATTTTCAAACAGTTTGGGGTCCAACACTTGATATCCTACAACAAATAGCAATCAATGAACTGTGATCTAAGGAGCAAATGTAAGCAGCCAAAATCTATTTGCCTCAGACAAGCACTCACTAGGCTTCAGGAGCTTCTATACTAAGGTGCCATTGCTGATGCACTTAGACAAGTTAGTGTGCATGGGCATACAGATCACTGAAAACAACATATCCCCTTCTCGCAGGAGAAGGGCTTGTTGAACAACGACTTTTATTACCCCTGGGCATTTACAACAGCACCTTTATTTTAATAGTATTGTATAAAAATGAATGTTTATGTACACTGTGCTTTGAAAGATACCTTGCTTTAAAGTAGCCTATAGTGCTATTAACATTGTTTTTAGCGTTAACTACTTCCTACTGAAATATTTATGTAAAGATACCTTTGCAGGTAACTCTTAATGGGAAAATCAGTTAAAATTATCCATTTTAACTAGTTCTAAGAGATTTCTTGGAAGCCTGCTAAGTGGGAAAGTAATGTGAAAAATAATTTATTTAATTACCTTTGAAACTCAATTGTCTTTAGGCACAGAAAATAATGCACTGTCTCTTTTAAACAACCTATCGCTTTCCTTTACTTACATTTCCCATCTGTCAACAAGTGCTTGAAATTTTATTACACTGTCCTGTAGTTTATGCAGAGTTGGTATTATTTTACAGAGTTCTGTTAATGGACTGGATAAATGGTAATGCTATTTAAACTAGTCTCCTGCTCCAGCAAACACAGCTGCAACTGTACTACTATTTCTAGGCAAACATCTTGACCTGAACACGCAGTGCTCTCTCAACCCGTCCAAAGAGAAATTGGAGCAGACAGCAAAGGGAAAGCGTAGCCGGCCGCTGGCGGCAACCAACTGTGTCTAATCATAATTCATATACAGTGTACCCTCTTTTATATTACATTTAGGCTACACAACAAGCATATGTGCTTCTTCACCTGGCATCTCATTTATAGTCAAGGGTCAAATGGTAATTATTATTCACAGAAGCTCAATATAGTATGTTGAAAATTGGCAGTACACATTGTTTGATTAGCTGTTAAATGCCAAAAAAAAAACTAAAACCAAAGCATACTATATATTTTATTGATCAGGTTTAGAGAAGTTTAATTCTCCCCAGAAATATATTTATTTGTATGTAAATACATGTAAGAACATGCAATGATACATGTAAAAAAAACAAATAATTTTATATACTTCATAGTCATCAAGCTCCACATTTGAAAGCTGACTGAGAACAGTTAACCAGCATCAATCCCTTTGTTGGCCTGACATTTTTTTAATTACAAATTCAGCATTAAGCAACTGTAGATTTTCAGTACCACTCATTTTCTTTTAAACATGAATACATTATAACCAGACATTCACTTTCATGGTCTGATCAACAATAACCCTTAGGCAGAGGAAATTTAATACTGTGAAGCCAGTGATCTCTTGCTTTCCACCAAACACACTGTGAGCAGTTGTGTGCTTTATGTCAAAGGACATTAAGCATTTCAGACTAGCATCTATCAAATATACAATTCTGAATTAAATATATTCAGGTATGATTTTGCCTGAAGTGTGCATCCATTTTTTGCCTGCAAATTACATCTCATTTCTATTTTATATGAATCTAGATAACAAGCATTACACTATAGATGGAATAATAAAATGAACATAAATCCCTTTAATTTTCCTTCCTGATAGAAGTAATATCTTTATCATGCCTGGTGGAAATAAAACACACTCAATTGTCAATATATAAACCCACATATAATATTGTGCCACAGTAAAACATTTTTGTCAGAACAAAAGGCTTCAGGAGTTTTCTGGCCTAGTAATGTAACATCTACAGGGAAGTTCTGGAAACAAAGCATACATCCAAAGAAAACAAAAGAAACAAAAATACATACAACTAAATGTTTACACTAATAGAGTCATTTTCAGTTTACAACTTCATATTACTATGAGAAGGGAAAAAAATTATTATTTCACAATATTAAAACAGAAATAATCTCCTAAAATATACAAGCTTCATTATATCATTTGTTGTCAAGAGTATTTCCATATACTCAAGTGGAAACAAGTCAGAGGAACCCCACCTTCACTTATTTTTTTCCCCAAGCACACAACTCAACATAGTCAGCAATTTCAACAGCAAAAGTCTCACCTGAAGTCTAAAGAAATGTCTCAAATTTATATCTACTCAAAATAGGGCTGCATCTGTACAAGCTTTTCAAAGCCTACTTAAGCATATCGTGTTATATCCCTTCCATACCACCTTAGGGTAACTTAAAGGTACCTTAAAATTTATTTTGTTACAATAACTAATCGTGTAGAACAGAAATGAATCCCTTTTACTGCAACAGATATAAGTGGATTCTTAGAAAGGCCAATGGGTCAAAACATTAATTTCAAAATACTGCCAAGAGTGCAATATTATCAAGCCAAAGAACACAACCAAAGCAAATGCTCATTACTATATTTGATATAGTTTTTATTTAAGTTAAAATACTTTTTTTTTTTGATTCCCAGAGCTGAAGTTACTACCTTTGTTGTCTGTGAGGGAACACAGGAGAGACTTCTCCACAGACCTACCATTTGCTAACACAGTGATTTTTCTGGTCAAGTGCATACAGCCACGAAAACAAAACTTCAGAAAACCAAAGTACTTATAAAGCACGATATCTCTGCGACAGAGTCTCTAGAGGCTTTTTTTTATCTTTCAAAACAGAAAGAACAACAAAAAAATACAAACCAGAAGAAAAGCCAAAGTGTTCTTTCAGCAAAACTTCATTACAGAAGTGGGAATGGATGAAACAATATTTTGTTTCAAGCAACTACTGGTATCTAACCTAGATTTTAAAAAATAATAAAATAATAATAATCTTGAAATCTTGCAAAGCACTCAAAGATAACACTCAGCTTAAACACCGCAATAATGTTCCTAGATGCATTTTAGCCCTGTCTGAGGCAAAAGTCAAAAGAGTTAATGCAAGACAGATCAATCCAAATTTTCCAGAATACTTGTTATTGCATCAAGCCTACTTACAGCCTGTATAACTTCGGTGTCCCCAGAAAGAGCAGTTCAGAAAGCAACTGGAGGTTATTTCTGTTTAGGCGCCTTTAGAAAGAAAAAGAAAAAGTTGTGTTACATTAAAAGAGCCACAGCAATGCAATACAACCACTTTGAGCAGGCATCCCGCGCTGTAACAAGCTGATTTTAAAGACCAGAAAGGCTATGCAATGCTGGTCCATTAGCGGAGACATGGTCCAGCAATAAATTTACCATGGACTAATTACATTTTCTGCTTTCCCCAACAGACCATATTACCTATTTTATGAAAGATTTTTGAATCTCTGTAGTGTGACTTAATCACTAAGTCAGGAATCTATCATGCAACAACCAGAAAACTAAAAATAGAGATCAGCAGTGTAACTTCAATTCTCCACCAACTCTGAATTCCTCTTAGTATAATATAGGAGATAGATATTTTGTGACCATGAAAAGGTTTAAGGGAACATGTATCAGATGTACACACTAAGTTAAGTAATGAGGTCATGCACCTAAAGATCCATATAACACATTATTTAAATGTGTTTGCTTTTCACATTATTTAAACGTAGTGAAGGAGGCTGTTACAGAAAACCTGATCAAATAAAAGTCAGAAAAAAACAAGACATCCCAGCTTGTACTTGGCATTACAGGGTTGTTTTTTGTTTCCATGATGTTTTTTTCTATAGCCATAAAGATACATGAAAGGGAAGTTAAATTACAAAACCCAAACAATCAGTTGTGCACAAGACAGCACAAAATAAAACCTACAACTAGGATCTGGAAGGTACTCCATTTGTCTGCAAATTTTCTCACTGAGCATGCTGACCAAGGTCAAAACTGCCTAGTCTGAGGTGTTCAGAGTTCAAAGCCTACTGCGTTAGAGCCAGAAGCAACACAACTATCACTAGCCAAGACAAATATATCTATCCCATGTTCATGATTCTTTAAATATACAACGCACATTATTCCCTCTAATGTGTATAAGTGACAGGCCTGGAACATACAGTCATACCTGTCAAGAATTGAAATTCAAAACAGGTTTTTGGTGAGTTTTAAGCACTGCACCAGATATGCCATCTTCCATTTAAGTAAACCTACATACTGAAAAAGTTTTGTCCCATCAACCTGATCACAAATACCAGTTTGTAATACACAGTGCTTATCAATACAATAATTCATGGCATTCCTGGACACCAGACTGCATGGTATTATCTGATACTTATTTTATCCTTACAGTGGGTACATTACATATGTCAACAAACTGTTGCCAAAACGTTCCACAAGGTGAAATAAAGAGATAATTAAAGTTTTGCAAAACTAACTTTTAGAATTTCATAAAGACTCAAAATTTTTTTGCTCATCTTCAGGCTGAATTTAAACTACTAAAGCCCCTTTAGCCTCACAGGGCTCATTTCATAAGCCCTGCTCCATCTAAAGGTCTTTCCAATATAAGTTTTCCCATAAATTCCCACACACACACTCAAAACCCAGTTATAAGTAGCTGCATGGTATAGTTCACTTAATTATTGCTCCCTTAAAGTTTAATGCAACTACTGATGAGGGTGATATAAACTGAAAAATATTCTTTATATAACCAAAGTTTGCTCCCACATTTCAAAAAATAAGCAATATAGCTTTTTGAGATCTAGATATCTGTAATTCTCATTTTTAGGTTCCTTTTTGTTAGTCAAGCAGCGGAAATCCTAATTTCATGTGGAAGAAATTTAAATCACACATTTACAAGATAAAGACAATTTAGAGTGAAAGAAATCCTGAAAAGGAAGCACTACAGTACAGGGATAAGATGGCTGAAGATGCAAGTTAAGGCACAGAAAAATAGGCTTAATCAAAGCAAAAGAAGAAAAAAAAAAACAAACAAAAATAAAAATAAACCTGTACTGTGATCTTGGAAGTCAGATTTCCAAATCAGTGGAAGTGAAGTTTTCAATATAAAAGAAAGAGCTATGAAGAAATTAATGACTACTGAAAGACTTGATTTAACATAGCTTAAAAGAAAACCTTACTGACATAAATAAGTGATGCATTTTAGTGTTTGTGGATTGACTGCATTTTCAAACCAGATCATTTAAAACAGGCATTTTTCTAACTTCTAGTAAATTTATGTATAAAAGTATATACTAGGACCACAAAAAAAATGTAGTAGGAAGAAAACTGCTTCAAAGTTATATTTGTGATCAGAAAAGAATAATGTGAAAATAGAGTTCTTAGACACCAAACCTGGGCAAATGGTTAAATAAAAAAAAAGATATAAAGCTTATTCATCCCTTCTCTTTGCTAAATAGTTAAGACTTAAACCTGAAAGTCCACAATTATGATCAAAAAACACATGGGAAAACATTCAGGGTAAAGACTTTGGGAAGTTAGTCTCTAATCAGAAGCTATTCAGGCCAAAAATTTCTGTTGATATTTAAGGACTGTATCAAGTTCTGATGCTAGAAAAAAATGGCAAGCTGTAACTGAAGGGGCAAAGAAAGTATGTGTATTTCTGCAGAAGTCCCATATAATTAAAAAAAAATAAAAATAAAAAAAGCACTGTAGTACAGAGTGTTAACTGGCTCTTCAGGAAGGCTGCCTTTCACTAAATCATAAAATGGTTTGGGTTGGAAGGGACCTTAAAAGATTATCTAGTTCAAACCTCACAGCTGTGGGCAGGGCACTCCTTCCACTACTCCAGGTTGCTCTAAGCCCCTTTCAACCTGGCCTTGAACACTGCCAAGGAAGAGGCAGTCACAGCTTCTCAGGATAACCTCTTCCAGTGCCTTACCACACTCACGGTAAGTAACTTCTTCCTAATACTTAAATCTAACCTCTTCCAGTTTAAAACCATTTCCCCTTTTCCTACCCCTATGTGCCCTTGTAGAATGTCTTTCTCCAGATTTCTTGTAGGACCCTTTATGTACTGAACACTGTATTAAGGTCTCCTCTGAGTCTTTTCCAGGCTGAACAAGCCCAACTCTCTCAGCCTGTCTTAAGAGAGTTGCTCCAGTCCTCTGACCATCTTCATGGCCTCATATGGACCCACTCCAACAGATCAATGTCTTTTCTGTACTGACTGCAGAGCTGAACGCAATAGTCCAGGTGGGGCCTCCTGAGAGCAGAAGCAGGGAACAATATGCTTGGACTTGCTGGCCACACTCCTTTCAATGCAACATATTTTCAAAATGTAACAACAGTCTTACAAGGACATAATTAACATCACTTTAGGATAATTCACAAGCGGAATACTTGTGTTAGTACATAACTTCCTACACAAGCAGTTAATACCTCAGATCAGGAGTTGCTGTTATTACCTGCAGTTCTCATGGCCCACACAACTGAGCATACTGTTAACATACTGATGTATGTGCTGCTGTACAGACTTTAAACATCTAAGTTACAGACAATAAATCAAATTCATGGATTAAAGTAACAACAAACAGCACTACCCTCTGGACTCAATAGTTTCTACCAAGTGTGCCTGGAACTTAGAAATACTGTTTCGATGTACGTTTTTACTTTGCCATTCACAAAATGAAAGTATTTGCTATTTGAGTGAATTGAGGAAATATACAAGTTAAATAAATGACTGATCTTTAAGGAATGTTGTATTCGTAGCTTCTACTTCAAATGATTCCATCCCACTTCAAGTTGTTTTTTTTAGAACTAAGCTTTTCTATGAAAAAATCTGACCATTACTTATTGCCTGTGCCCAAGAATATCAAACATTGCCAGTTTTCATGAAGGAAATTATGGGAAATACATCCTTTATCATACTTCAGAAAGAGGCTTCAGCTATTCTTTACATCTATCAAGTTACAACAGATGTTTTCAAAGGGGTCAACTTGCTGTCCTTAAGTCTTCTACAAGATTTTATGAACTGAACTTCACTGAAATGAAGTTTGAGATTATAATAGATAGTTCTGTTTAAGAAAATGCTATGAATTCACACACAAGTGAAGGAATTATAAAGGACGCAGGGCTTATCTGGAACACACAGACTAGTATCCAAGCACACAACAACTTCCAGTTCAACAGTCATTAAGAGTTCTCAATCTTTGAGACAGAATCACACTAGGAGTTCAGAAAACGCATTCCTATTTTAAAACAATTCACCAGCGTGCATGGTTCTCCAATAATTCCACTTTTTCAGGTGACCTCATGCTTAATTCTGTCTGAAATAGCAATACCTATCCAGAACACATAGACATAATGGAACAAGTGTGAGAAAAGCATGATCCCCTTTCGCCCCAGAGCTGAAACCAGAGGTAAGCACAGATGGATTCATAACTACATACTGCAAAGAACCACAGTTACTGCAGTGTAAAAACAACCAGAAACACTCCACATTTTCTTTCAATGTGTGCTGGCAGAGACCTCATTGCAGCTACCTAGCAGGCAGCATTTCCCCCAGAACACCCTAAGAAGAGAAATTTTGGTTTCATCAACTGAACTGCTCTCCAGACCTGACATGAAGTTCAAGGTGAAGCACTGAGGAACAGTGATGAGCAATTCCATACTGCTACCATTCAGTTTCCAGACTGAGCTAGAAAAATCTGTATTCCTCAAGCAATGGCAGATTGCTCAGAAGAGATGAAGTGTTAGTGGTGTAAGCAACAAAAAAGTGTATTGGACAATCTCTTAACACTGCAATACCTTGAACTGCAAAGTCCCTTGGTTACAGCCAGAAACATCATATCACTCTTTCAGTTTAAGAAAGCTGAGGCACAGTTGCAAGTATACATAGCTTTCTTCTGTTCCCAAATGAATCTTCAGGAAAAACATTGGGCAAATTGACATACTGGCACAGGTAAATTTTTGAGCTCTTCATGATGACTTTAAGCAAATTCCACATACTACCTAAAGTACACAAAGCATTTAAACTACTTCAGCTTAAAGCTCCCAGAGCTCAGTTTTCTAAACACAGTAAAGACTAGAAAAGCACCTTCAAAGTGAAGTGATACAAGCAGTATACAGAATGATCATTTAAGAACGAGGAAGGAAAATCTTAACAGATGACAGGTGAAATTACTGTTAAAAGGAAGCTTGATACCAACAGGCAGATAAAA